TGAACCTCACCATGTTGTCACCTTACCTTTTATTTATTGATATATCACTACTCTCTTAGGAGTTCCTGAAGTCTTGCGTCTCCCCATAGTCCTGCACAGCCGGGCAACACGCATTTTTCCATCAGACTTGCATCTGGAGACAGCAACCAGTCCTTGAGCTTTGTTTTGAAGTTTTATTAGGGGATTTAGAACTTGGATGCGGTAGGGGGTGTACAGGATGCCCAAGGGAATGACAACTGAGGACAAACTCCTAAGCAACTGTGTACAAGTCTCTACAGCAAAATTTCCCTTCTGTAAAACTACCCAGCATCTCCTCTAGTACCACCCCAGGCCCCAGATGACTCCTCATCCAGCTGTACTGGGTGAATCCCTGGGCCGGGGATCCAGTGTCTGCCACTGCAGTGTGAAATAGTCCTGAGTTAGATAGCTAATCCAATTCCCCACTAGAGTGCTCCTTTCCCCTTACTGGCCCAGCCTCTCATATCTCTCTCTCTTCCACCCAAACTCTCCTCCTGCTGAACAGGCTCAGCTACTCTTAAAGGTTGTCCTGGCCCCTTGCCAAGCCTCCTGTTGGGCATTGACCAGGATCCCCTAAAAGTACAAACCAGCCACTCCTCAGATACGCCCACTGCTTCTAGACCATTATCCAAAGTTCTAGAGCAAGGGGAAATTCCAGAGGGGCTGGTCTGCAGAGCCTCTCAGTCCTGACCACAATTTGCCTCCCTCTAACTGTTGCTCCAAGCTGCTACTCAACCTCTGCCTAACAATTAGTATCTAGCTCCCCCTAGCTATCTCGGAGGGTGCTACATTGATATACTTTGAAAAGATATCAACTTCTTCACCAAATATATGTATTATTATCCTATATTGAAAGACAGCTCACAGATCACTGTAGTATTTCCTTTGCAATAGTGGTGTTGTATATACAGCTTGACTGAAGCAGTATACAGTATGTGTAATACCAGCAATTCAGTAAGATGAGTGGCATATATTTTATTTGATTCTATCTGTGATACTACTGAATATCCTTATAGTAGCCCTTGTTATTTGTACCTTTTCAGGATTGTGAAATTTTGGACCATGTCTTAACTGAGCTGGTGAAGTCCTCAATTAAATATCAGTTTAATACACTGCTGTGGTTGGTAGGGTGGATTGTTTCCGCAACCCAGAGATGCAAGATTGTGTCAAGTTCAGTATTTGTTTCACAACCATTTTATTTTAAAGGGGTATTTTGTTGTAATGATGCAGAAAGGATGAGAAATCTGGAATAATGTGATATTTTCACAAGATTACAGGAGATGTCCAGAATATGTAAAAGAGTTATCTGATTGCTGATTTGCATCTTCAGCATTTATCTGGATTGGATGGATTCAGAGAATGCAGGGTGGTTGGTGTTCTGCGTCATTGTGTTAGGATTTATTAACCTGATTCTCAATATATGTTGCTGATGGAGACTTTAAAGCGAAACTGTTGCTATGGTCAATATTTTTAATAAAATGCACCTGTAAAAGAACTCCGCTTCAATGGTGACACTCATAAACCATTTGTGTCAAGTTGTGTCAATCACCTGGGTTCCTCACAGCTTTTTACTGGTCAGCAGGAGAAACCAGTAAGTGATGCTGGGTTCACAAGAGATCAACACTCTTGAAGTGTCAGATTCATTGTGGACTTCACATGAAGATTGAATGCAGAGTTTGGTGGTGTGGGCAGCAGGGAAGGTAAGTATTTACCGATTTATTTTAGAGGTATAACATATTGACTATAGCAACAGGATCACTTTAAGGGTTAGGAAGATCATTTCAGATTGTTTAAGCCTTTTTCTCAGTTTACCACTAAGGAGAGCAGGGGAATCAATGTCTGCTTGGATAAATACGGAGTACATTAGGAATAGCATGTTCTTAGTCCAGTTTTCTACCAATCATTCAGATTCAAAAGGTGTGATAGAGCACTCAAAAGAATTCAGCCAACTGAGATTTAATAAAGTATGTACCAAAAAGGTTTAATCCTGTGTGACTAGTTTTGTGACCTAATCATCCCTATCAGACAGTACGCTGAGATCCTTGACCTTTCTTACAGCGGCACACAATGGTAAGTGATATACTCCAATACTTCCTGATGACTGAAAAAGGCAGGCAGAGCAGAAGCACAATTTTATTTTTTCTTCTGTCAGTATATTCACTTTCAGCACATAAACTCTGCAGTACAGCCTGATTGGCTCAAAGTGCTAACCCTTCCTTCCCCCGTTTGAGAGTTGCAGTGCAGGAGATTATACTAGGCAGACATCAAAACAAATTTAGGAGATTAAGCTATTTGCATTTATTTATTAATTATTTGAATATTCTATGTAACTACACTATATTGCTAAAAGTATTGGGATGGCTGTCTTTCAACGCACATGAGCTTTAATGGCATCCCAGTCTTAGTCCGTAGGGTTCAATATTTAGTTGGCCCACCCTTTGCAGCTATAACAGCTTCAACTCTTCTGGGAAGGCCGTCCACAAGGTTTAGTAGTGTGTCTATTGGAATGTTTGACTGTTCTTCCAGAAGCGCATTTGTGATGTCAGGCACTGATTTTGGATGAGAAAGCCTGGCTCGCAGTCTCTGCTAGAATTCATCCCAAAGGTGTTCTTTTGGGTTGAGGTCAGGACTCTGTGTATGCCAGTCAAGTTCCTCCACCCCAAACTCGCTCATCCATGTCTTTATGGACCTTACTTTGTGCAGTAGTGCATAGTCATGTTGGAACAGGAAGGGGCCATCTCCAAACTGTTCCCACAAAGTTGGGAGCATGAAATTGTCCAAAATGTCTTGGTATGCTGACGCCTTAAGAGTTTCCTTCACTGGAACTAAGAGGCCAAGCCCAGCCCCTGAAAAATAATCCCACACCATAATCTTTCCTCCACCAAACTTTTACAAACAGTACCATTCTTCTGGCAACCGCCAAAGCCAGACACGTCCATCAAATTGCCAGACAGAGAAGCGTGATTTGTTACTCCAGAGAACACGTCTCCACTGCTCTAGAATCCAGTGGCAGCGTGCTTTATGTCACTGCATCTGATGCTTTGCATTAGGGATGCTCCAAAATTTCGTCGGCCGAAACGTTTCAGCTGAAATGAAAAAAAAAAACACCAATACAGATGCCGAAAAAAAAAACCCCGCTGCCGTCACCCACTGCTAGTTAGTTCTCAGCCTTTAGTTCTCAGGTTTCAGCTTTCGGCCAAGTGCATTTTGAATTTTCCATTTCGGTTTCACTACCAGAATTTTAATTTCGGTGCACCATTACTTTGCATTGCACTTGGTGATGTAAGGCTTGGATGCAGCTCGTTTGATTCCCTGGTCTACTTCCTGGAATTCACCCCTTTGAAGCACTGGAGACGTTGTTCCTTCAATCCAGATTGGTTAGGTGATGAGCAGTGCCTGTTTCCTCCAGATGTAACATTTAGAATTGAGGCCAAATGGTCCAATCTTGGTTTCATCAGAACAGAGAATCTTGTTCTTCAATCTAAGAGTCCTTCAAGTGCTTTTTTGCACACTCCAAGCAGGCTGTCATGTGTTTTGCACTGAGGAGAGGCTTCCGTCTAGCCACTCTGCCATAAAGCCCAGATCGGTGGAGGACTGCAGTGATGGCTGTCCTTCTGGAACTTTGTCCCATCTCCACATAGGATCTCTGGAGCTCATTCAGAGTGGCCAATGAGTGATTGGTCACCTCTCCTCCTAAGGCTCTTCTGACTAGATCTGATTATAGCATGATGCTATATTTTATGAATAAATGTATGTGTTTTGTATATTCTTATTTTATTGAAATGTACTCCTTAAGGGTGATATTAATCAGATATCAATAATTCCTATTTTCTTTTAGGACTTGTACATGCTAGCATTTGGGGTAAAGTAAAGCCCGTACTGAGCCACGCTTTACCCCCCCCAAACACTTCCCCCCTTTAGCTGCAGAGGCAGTAGACGGGGGTTTACACTTGCTTTGGCCACGATGCTTTGTTCACGGCAGGAAAAAAAAAACCCCTGTCACTTTCAGTGGACGCTACCACCTGCTGATCAAAACCCATCCAAGTAAATGGGGCCACTTCGCAACAACCTTGCAACCATGTGCAATGCACAAGGATGTGGCTTGCTGTTGAGGGGTTGAAGGAGTCAAAGCAATATTAAACTCAAAATAAAAAATGTAATATGTTGCAGCCTACCAATCATTAGATGCAGTGGTTGCATTAGTTTTCTTTTTTAGTTTTTTTCCTCTTTTTTTTCTCTCTACCTTTGGACAGCAGCATTGTCAGTCTGAGGGGAGGGGAGTGTTAGATGTACTAGCAGATTTAGATATATTAACAAATTGAAGCCAAACTCCTGCAGTTGCAGCAACATATTTTCCTTTTGGGATAAAGGTTTTAAATGAACAAAAAAGAAAAAAATTACCATTGTAAGCACCCCTCTCAGTGATAAATGTTTGTCTTGCTACAACTGCAGGAGAGCTTGTGCTGTTGAAAAACAACAGACTTACTGGCTGGATCAACAGATAAAAATACAGGATAGAAAGCATAAAAAAGGAAACTAATGCAGCCATCACATCTAAGAATTGGTAAGCTGCAATATAAAAAAAATGTTTGTTTTTGGGGTTAATACCACTTTAAAGCAGGTGGTGAGGAGGCTATACAACACCTCATCACTGCCTGTCAAATGCTCTCTGAAGAGTGATCAAAAAGCAGTTCAGTCATCAGCGAGTAGAGCCAGCCTGAACCAGGCCCGGAATGGGCCAAAACATAAGCCCTGGCCATTTTTTGCTGTTCGAAACTATGCTATTTAACTGGCAATTGTGCGGTCATGCAACACTGTACCCAAATGAAATTTGGGTTTTTTAAAAAAAAAATGTAATATATAAATGACCTCAAATTTACTGCTTCCGGGTTGAATAGGCTGCATAGAGCCGTAGAGATGTCACTCAGAGAGAGATCACAGAATTCCAGCCATGTCCACCTTGTCGAACTATGGCTTTCTGCATGCATTGTCTGAGTGCCAAAATATTTGGAGGGGTTGTGTGGCCAACGGACAGTAAGTCTATGAAAGTAGTGAAGCTTTTCAGTGAGCCGCCATTGGCCAAAAGGAAAGAGGTCTATGACTGGTACCCATCGCATGATGTCTATAACCCACTAATGCGCTATCTGAGATTTCTGGGCCTCTAGAGGTACAATTGGTTTGGCTTTGTGATCAGTTTGAGATGCTTCTAACTTCCTTCTGAGCTACTTCAAACTGCATTTGTCATGACTTCACCTCCGCAACATCTCCAAGATACACCTGTTTTTAACTACCGAAACCACTAAGTAACTTATTCACTCCCTTATTATCTCTCGCCTTGACTATTGTAACTCTCTCCTCATTGGTCTACCTAATCGCAGGCTATCCCCTCTTCAGTCCATCATGAATGCTGCTACCAGACTCATCCACCTTACTAACCGTTCCATATCTGCCATCCCTCTCTGCCAATCCCTCCACTGGGCTTCCCATTGCCCAACGGATAAAATTCAAAACATTAACAATAACATATGAAGCCATTTATAAATCTGCCCCAAATTACATCACCAATCTTGCCTCCAAATATCACCCAAACCGTACTCTTCGCTCCTCCCACAACCGCCTGCTCTCAAGCGCCCTTGTCTCCTCCTCCCATGCTCATCACCAGGACTTCTCCAGAGCCTCTCCCATCCTCTGGAACTCTCTACAATCTGACACTAACTGACAGCGACATCAATAGCGACACTAATACAGTGATCAGTGCTAATACTATACACTGTCAATCATTGGCTGGGACCTATTGATTGGCTTTTGCTGTGCCGAATCACAGCACAGCCGGGGCAGCGGGCACGTGCCTCCAACCCGGAAGGATGGATCACGTAGTAGGTAAGTGATCCAGTGCAGAGCAGCCGCCCTGTCATCGTATATATGTGCATGGGGTGGCCACTAAGTGGTTCTGAGATGCCCATTTGGATGCATAGACCATCCATTTAAGTTTACCAGAAAAATTGATAGGGAGGCCTGATCAGATTTCCCATCTGAAGCTGGAATTCTACATTAATCTTTCTGAAAAGAAAATGCTGTTTCAAATATCCCTGCCCATTGGTGGGCAGTGGTGGTGCTAATTAACCCCTTTGTTCTGTATTGGACGCCAGTTGCAGTGTTCAATAACTCCTTCATGCTGCAGTATAAAGGGTTTAATTGACACTGACAGTGGTGCCATTAATGCAACACAAAGGGGTTAATTAACTGCTTCTGGTCACTAATGCATCAGTGACCAGTGGCAGTACATTCTCCCCTTCATGCTACCCGCTCCCCCAAAGAGTTAACCATGCCAGCCAGTTCACTGGAAAATACTTATTACTAATAGCATAGCACAATACTACACTGTAAGTGGCTCAATAATTATTTAGGGAGGAGGATCTGCCAGCCCAGTCCCTACATAGGTTTTTGCTCACTTGCAAACACGTTACAGGACAGTAAGTATATCATATACCGAACCCTTCCTTTTCTGAATGAACACAGTGAGTGATTGGTACCATTCATAATCATAACCATAGGTGTTCATTCATAACTGAAGCATAATAAACTGTGTTTACTATCCTTCCATTTGTGAAGCACAGAGCACTTCACATTAATTCACTGTCCAGTGCAGTTGAGGCTGCAGAGAAAGTGATTGGGGAATCTCTGTCCTCAGTACCTTTTTCTGCCTCAAAAGTGAGACACCATGAATCTATTTAGATCCCTGACATTTCACCAAAGCCCCCCCCCCCAATAGTGCTCCAAAAACTTTTTGTAAAAAAGAAAAAATATTATTGTAAAAAATTATTTAAAAAAAAAAAACTACTGATATCATCCATTGCCCTACTGACTCCATCCACTGCTTTACTTGACATTGTCCTCTGCCCTACTGACAAAGTTTATTGCTCTACTGACACCATCCACTGCCCTAGTGACACCGTCCATATTTTTATACATTTTAAAATGTTTGCTTACATTTTAGAGTACATGTGTCTGTGTTTCACCCTGTCTATTGACCATTGTCACAGGGACTGAAAGTGAGAAAAAAAATGTTTAGTCACTTGAACAGGAATAGAGGATTAATCTTCTAATGGGACGCCAGTCCCATTGGCAATAGTCTAGGAGAGGATTTCCTCACACTAGAGAGACCTCCTCTCACTTCCTGTTGTGTCTCTGAAAAAGGAAGAGGAAATTTCACCAATGGGGTGCAAAATAAAACGGCTGGGGTTTCAACCTTAACTTACTCTATCCAAACTAAAAACAATTTGGCTTTTGATATATGACTAAAATGTAGTCACTGGAAAAAATATGTTACCAAATGTCTGCAGATAGAAAACTAGTGAGGAGGCCTCTTCATCCGTTAAATGAAAGTTAATGAACATATGCAAGAGGGTGACTCTGTAACTAGACACTTCAGTTATTCATCCTCCATGACACTTGCAACCCTTGATACTTTTTATAGCCAGAGCTGATGTCTGACTCTAACATCTGTCTTTCTGTCTGAGAGGATACAAGGTGGGAGTTCTGAAAGAAGGTCGCACAACCCAGAACAATAATCATCCTTTACATGTAAATTTACTTTTACTTCATTATTTTCTTAAATGAAGGACATTTCTAAATTAATTAACAAATTAAAACTATTAGAGGGTAAAGGCATTTAGTAAGTTATTCTGCAGAAATGTACTAACATTCTGTAGTTCTACAAAAATCGACACAAACACTAGTTTAAATCAGTAAATAAACCGCAAAAAAAAAAAAAAAACTCCTGCAAAATAATAGCATGCATCACAATAATAACACATTATGAAAGACTCACCTGAAAACAAAGCCCTCCGACGGTGCACTGTCACCGCTGTAGGCACTTCCATCTTCACCCGGCTTTCCTTCTGGGTTTGCAGGGTTTGGCTGTTTGACTGGCTGAGCCACGGTGATGTCACTCCCACACATGCACATGGGAGTCACGGCCACGGCACAGCTCTTTCAATAGTTGGCACGCTGTCCATTGAGAGCGCAGTACACATGCGCTGGTGACGTCACCGGCTGCTACTATAGTAAATATCTCTTAAACGGTGAAATTTTAGGAGATATTTACTGTACCTACAGGTAAGCCTTATTTTAGGCTTACCTGTAGGTACAAGTAAACCATGGGGCTTAGCTACCACTTCAAAGGGATTTTTAGTGGTGGGTCGTTTTAATGGCATAAAAATATAAGGTTAAAGATTAACCGCTCTACCCGCCATCCTATAGCAGAAATACTGCTACAGGGTGGCAAGGGTGTGCAAAATCATGTATATATATATATATATATATATATATATATATATATATATGATTTTTCATTTCTGGGTGGGTGTCATGCGTGAGCCCTACCCGTGTCGCCATTCGGCCTCGGCAGTCAATCACCAGGTCCCAGCCGGTGATTACATGCAGGCACCCGGTGATTGCTGAGTAATACAGACGGGGGAGAGAACTGTATGTAGACAATACAGTTCTCTCCCCTGTCAGCTCCAGCACACTGCTTTGTATGGCTCTGCATAGCAGGGCCATACAAAGCAGTGTGCTTACAGTAAAGCACACACAAAGTCAACATAATGAAACAGCACACAGTTAACCCTTTAATGTTAACCCCTTCCTGCCCAATGCCATTAGTACAGTGTCAGTGCTTTTTTTTAGCATTGATAACTGTATTGATGTCAGTGACACCAAGTCAGTTCCCCCCAGTGTCAGAATGCCCGCTGCAGTCCCTCTATAAGTCGATGATACGTTCCATTACTAGTAAAAAATAAAATTAAGAAAAATTCCAGTATATATACCACCATTTTTAAATGCTAGAACTTTCACATAAACTAATTAACTTACACGTATCGGGATTTTTTTTTTACCAAAGACATGTAGCAGATTATATATTGGCCTAAATTTATGACGAAATTTGATTTTTGTAATTTTTTTATTGGACATGTTTAATATCGAAAAGTCAAAAATATTGTTTTTTTTTTTTTAAAAATGTCAGACTTTTTTTGTTTATAGCGCAAAAAATAAAAAACACACAGGCGATCAAATACCACCGAAAGAAAGCTCTGCTTGTGCTGAAAACAAGTACGTAAATTTTATTTGAGTGCAGTGTTGCATGACTGCGCAAATTAAGGCAGTGCCATAACGCAAAAAAAATGGCCTGGTCAGGAAAGAGGGTAGAGGGCAAGTGATTAAAAAATGAAATATTTTGGGTCAGTTTTCTTTTCATATTAGGCATGTACCACCAAATGAAAGCCTATTCTGTGCTGAAAAAAAACCCAGGTATAATCCACCTGGATACAGAAAATAGTTGCAATGATATGTACAGTTATACTAACACATGTCAAAGTTGCCAAATTTGGTGTGGGGGCGATAAGGTTTGCCATGACCCTGGTCATGAAAGGGTTATTATTTAATCTTCTTTTTGTTTAGTTTGTTAATATTTTTATTCATTTAACATATATTTACACATTTCAAATTTTAAAAAGCGCAAAATTTAAAAAAAAAAATATTTCATTTGTAGTTAACTTTGCAATGATTTGTACCAGAATCATAGTTTTAGTGTCATTTAACAGGACAAACTACAGAATAAAATGCTAACTTTTTATCTACAGTAATATTTTTAAAATAACACTGGTCAAAAAAAAGAAAAAGTGCATTTTGTTTAGTTTTATTTTTTTATTGTCTAAGGATTGTGAAGAAAAGTCATTGTAGCAAGACAATATCATGAAAAGAAAGCCTTGTTTGTCCTTAAAAAACAATATATGTATTACTTTGTTATCTTGCCAGCCAGCCACAGTACATTTACAGCTGATTCACACATGTGCGGTGCTGATTTGAAGGTCCGGTTTCAGTGTGGATTGCAATCAAACTGTTCAGCGGTTCAGGACAGGTTTATGTGACACAGCTGCGGATTGTACCGTTCACAGGTTTATGGAAGGCTGGCCATACATTATACAATTATCTTCCAATTTTCTGCCCAATTTCCTTTAGATTTACCTTCAACTGTGTAGTGCAAGGGACTGCCTAATTGGATACAACTGAAAGTGTTTAGGTTTGTCCTCCTATTATATGGTTTTTGGTAAATCTAAACCAAAAATCTCCAGGTAATTGTTTAATGTATGGCCAGCCTTAGAGC